ATATATATATATATATATATATATATATATATATATATATATATATATATATTTGTGTAATATATATGTATGTTTAGAACAGTCATCTAAAAACTGACGCTATGTTCACTCTGAGTTGGTTATCTCTCCCCCCCCCACACACACACCTCACCACCACATTTGTGTAAAGCGACATTAATGTCAAATCTAGGTATACACTGGGTTGGATAATTGACCTAAAGTGACCGGACAGTGGTGAATGAAGTTGAACCCCCCCCCCCCCCAACACACCCGAACTGATCTGTTAAGTAGGCCTACATGTAGAAAAACGCATAATGATGTACCAAAGTACCATGCCGCCAGAAAATTAGCTTTTTAAACGTAAAACTCTGTGAATATTGTTTTTGCAATTACCAGTAAAAAGGTGTGTAATCAATACAGTGATCTAACCCATACCTATCACTATGTTAAATAAACCGGGAGTGATCTCCCCAAAACTTTCTCGAATATTCTTATATAAAATAACAGGGGATGGGAAGTCGGGCTATAGACATGATTTTTAATCCATTTTAAATACTTAAAGTTTTAAAAATAGAATAAAATCTCGTAGACAAATTAATTGCACACCAAGTGAACGCCAAATCAAAAAGCGCATAATAGTGCGCAATATTATTATTACTTTAAAAATTTACATTAGTTTTTTGAGAAATCGGAAGTAGCGTAAATTACTACTTCCGGTCAACGGAAATGACTCAAAATTTAACAGAAGGTAGAGAATTAGATCTTTAACTTACATGTGAAATTTCATTTATCTATCTGAAATAGTAATCAAGTTATAGGCTTTTGAAAAATTAAAAGTAGAAAAAGTACCACTTCCGGTTATCGGAAATCGCTCAAAAGTTGATACTGATCTACGATTTTGAAAAAATACTTATATATGAAATTTCATCAACCTAGCTGTAACGGTACTCAAGTTATCGTGTTTACACACGGACACACAGACACACACACACACACACAGACATACGGACAAGATTGCAAAATTATGTTTTTCCGTATCAGTGAGGTGTAAAACGTTGAGATCTGTAAAAATCTCGATTTGTTTTTTGTATATACGAGAAAGTAAAAAATGATCTTTAAAGAACGCAAACAAGCAGTAGTTAATTAAAAATATATGTTCTGAACTACAAAGACCGAACTTTAGTTAAATGTAGGCTGTTATTCCGAATGTTTATCTATTATATGAAAAGCGTGGTTTTTAAAAACTTTCATTATGCTGTAATACTTTAGCATTTATGATGACGATATATTAAATAGTGATTATAGACAAAAACATGTTGTAAACACGAAAACTGTTAAGCAATTCCATTATATTCTAGAGTAATTATTTATTTGTTTTGACATTTATAATTAAATGTGTAGATATATACATATTTATATTAAGAGAGTGATAATTTCCCCTATTTCACTTGTCTTAAATAATTTCCTAGGAATTATTTTGTAAGAAATTTTTTTTACAAGAATTTCAAAACAGATTGTGTTACGTTCATTGTTTTTGGTTGTAGTGTATATATATATATATATATATATATATATATATCTATATATATATATATATATATATATATATATATATATATATATATATATATATATATATATATACATATATATATATATATATATATATATATATATATATATACATATTTATATATATATATATATATATATATATATATATATATATATATATATATATTTGTTTAGATTGATAAAAGTTTTGTTTTGTCGGCCTACATTGTGTGTTTTTTTCTTATTTCTTCAGAGTGCTACTTTCAATTTATTTTACATTATAGCGAAGTAATGACATACAGCTAGTAATTATATATATGTGTGTATATATATATATATATATATATATATATATATATATATATATATATATATATATATATATATATATATATATACACGTATATAGAACGTATTAAAAATTCTGCGCCTTTTTTTGCCCTTTTCGCTCCCCCTACAATGAAAACCTGGATACGCCTCTGGGTAGAACACACTTCGGTGACCGCCTATGTGTCAGAGACGTAGAGGGGCGCTCTCAGGGTTCCCACCCCCTATTACACTACCGCAAAGGCGCGGCGTACGACTCCTGGCCCCTTAAAACTAACAGGCGCCATCGTGCCAAATAATATCCTATTAATAATGATGCAGATTTCATCATTTGCTAAAGTGTCACAAATGAACAGGATTTTTTCTTTAACACTTAAAAAAGTATTTGACGTGTTTTAAACATCAGTGTGACTGATGCAATACGCTAGCGTTACTAATGGTCTATTATTAGATGCTGGATCTCAATTTCTGACTGGATTTTCTAATAAAAGATGCTTATTGCATCATTCGCAAAGTGACGAAACTCTACAGTAGGCTCCTCATATTCAAAAAGTTTTTTTTTTCATCTTTCGCAAGGTGACGAAACTGTACAGAAGGATTTCTTCGCGTTACAAAGTTATTTTTAGAAGCCTATTGTAGTTTTACCGCTGAATATAGTAGTACCCCTTACTCGCTATGCAGGACGCTCGATTAACGAATGTCAAGTGCCAACATAGTCGCTCTAAAACTCTGGGCTCCAAACCGTGTATTGACGAAAGTTGTACCCTATATGGCGCCGCCCATAAGAAAATTTAGTTTTCTTTCTCGCAGAAATATTCTCGGGAATATTCTCATCTATTCCCTAAAGTTTCATGGCACTCGGATGAACCGCATCCGAGTTTTATTTTTTATATACCGTGTATATTAAAAAAAATTGTTTGCAGAACCCTACCATTGAGTGATCTAATCATCTCCCCAAAGTTTCATGGTACAGGGATGAACGGTGTGAAACCGAAATAGACTTTACTTTATATAAACCGTATATAGAGAAAAATCGCAGCCTCCCGTGGCGCCGCCCTTGCGAAAGTAAAAAAGGATTTTTTTTTACAGAACCATTCCATGAATTGTTCTAATGAACTCCCCAAAGTTTCATGGCGATCAGATAAATGGTGTCAAACCAAAAATACCTTTTATTTTTATATACCGTATATAGAGAAAATCGCAATAAAAATGATATTTTACAGAACCCTTCCTGAAGTGTTCTAATCTAGTCCCTGAAGTTTGATGGCTACCACAATCAACTTTTCTTTTTATATAACATATAGAGAAAGAAAAAAACGCGCCCTGCCAGGGCGCCACCCCTGAGAATTTGAAAATGTTTTTAGCGCGAAACCTCCCCAGGAATATTCTGAACATTTTCCCAAAGTTTCATGGGGAACGTGTGAACGGTGTCACGGCAATTCACTTTTATTATTTTTATATACCATATACAGAGAAAAATCGCACCCACCTGTGGCGCCGCCCTTGCGAAATTAAAAATGATTTTTTACAGAACCCTTCCCTAGAGTTTAATAATGAACTCCCCAAAGTTTCATGTCTATCGGATGAACGGTGTCACTGCAATTCACTTTTATTATTTTTATATACCGTATATAGAAAAAAATCGACCCCCCCCCCCCCCCCCCCCCGTTGCGCCGCCCTTGCGAAATTAAAAATTATTTTTTACAGAACCCTTCCCTAGAGTGTTATAATGAACTCCCCAAAGTCTCACGGCTATCGGATGAACGATGCCAAAGCAAAATCGACTTTTATTTTTATATACCGTATATAGAAAAAAAACAAATCGCGCAATGTCGGGGCGCCACCCCTGCGAATTTGAAATTTTTGTTTTCGCAGAAACCTCCCCAGGAATATTCTCAACAACTTCCCAAAGTTTCACGGCGATGTGATGAGAGGTGTAGTAATGCATAAAGGACAAACAGACACACACACACACACACACAAACATACATTGCTTTTTATATATATAGATAGATAGATAACAAAAAATCCAATCTTTGTAGAGTTGATATTCTTTTAAGATATAGTTCAGTCCATCAAGTTATCTGACTTGTAAAAGTACATTTGCAAAATTCCAACCAACTTTAAAAGTGAATCTATTAAAAATAAAATATAAAGAAAAAAAAGTTAGTTGGAAATGAGGAGAGGGTTGTTTTGTAAAAACAAATCTTAGTCTAAAATTTGGTTAAACAATAAAGACATTGCAGGTTTAATTGGTAATTTAATACCTTCTATGTGGAATAATATTTAGTGTCATAAAGTCATCAAAATGTTTTATTATGTTTTTTTTTACAGAAGCGCGAGTTGTGATGATTGTTAAAAATATACAACACAAGTTCAGCTCAGAAAATGTAATATTGTCGATGGCGATACTACACACTCTATTATAGTTTTAAACTTGTCTACAGCAGGATAGAGACTCGGTCTTTAATAAAAGGTGGTAGATGTTTTACTCAAACACGGAGCCAACATAAATCAAGTTTATCAAACTGGGTGGAATGCATTACTTGTTGCATCTGAAAATGATCGTGACAAGGTGGTGGATATTGTAAATGAAAGTGGAGCAGAAATACATCATATAGAACATAGAAAATGGAATGCCTTAATGATTGCATCTCAAAATGGACATGACAAAGTGGTTGATATATTACTTAGAAATGGAGCAGACGTACATCATTTAGAACATAGAAAATGGAATGCATTAATGTTTGCATCTCAAAACGGTCATGATAATGTATTGAACCTTCTATTAAAACATGGAGCTAACGTAAACTCTCTCGAAGAAAATGAAACGAATGCATTAATGATAGCATCACTACAAGGTCATTTTAAAGCAGTTAATATTTTACTTAGAAGTGGAGCAGATATACACCATGTAAATCAGAGAAATTGGAATGCATTAATGTTTGCATCTCAAAATGGACATGATAATGTAATCAAACTTCTACTAAAACACGGCGCAAATATAAACAGTGTTAAAGACGACGGAGAAAATGCATTAATGATAGCATCTCGAAAAGGACATGAACATGTTGTTGGTTTGCTTTTCAAACATGGCGCTACGAGCGATTATTGCCCTATCCTAAAAATAACTATACTTTTAGCTATACGTTTGATATTACTGTTTGTTATTCTGATTTTAGTTAGTGGGTTAATAATGTTTAAACATCTATCGAACGAAATCATTGAAAACGATTGGCATCAATTGATGATAGCAGCGTACAATGGAAGATATAAAGCTGTGAAGTTTCTGATTAAGACCGGAATTGATGTTAATCATTTAAACATTAGTAAAAATAATGCTTTAATATTAGCGTCAGAAAAAGGTTATGAAAAGATTATAGATCTGCTTATAACAAATAATTCATGTTTAAATCACATGAATCAAAATGGACATAGTGCACTCATGTCTGCATCCCTTAATGGACATACTAAAGCAATATACATTCTTTTAAATAATAAAGCAGATGTTAATCTAACCAACCAAAATAATTGGAATGCATTAATGTTTGCCTCTCTAAAAGGACATTATAAATGTGTAGAGATACTTTTGAAGTATGAAGCGGATGTACGACAAACATATAACTACGGAATAAATTCCCTAATGATTGCATCATTTATTGGACATGATAAAGTGGTTGATATTTTACTTAGAAATGGAGCTACAGTAAATGATGTGGATACAGATGGTAATGATGCATTAATGAATGCCTCTCACAACGGGCATGATAAATGTGTAGTGATACTTTTGAAGTATGAGGCGGATGTACATAAAACAAATAAAAATGGAATAAATGCCTTAATGTGTGCATCACTTAATGGACATGAAAAAGTGGTTGCTATTTTATTTGGAAATGGAGCTACAGTAAATATTGTGGATACAGATGGTAATAATGCATTAATGATAGCCTCTGACAACGGGCATGATAAATGTGTAGAGATACTTTTGAAGTATGAGGCGGATGTACATAAAACAAATAAAAATGGAAGAAATGCCTTAATGCGTGCATCACTTAATGGACATAAAAAAGTGGTTGATATTTTATTTAGAGATGGAGCTACAGTAAATGATGTGGATACAAATGGTAATGATGCATTAATGATGGCCTCTCACAACGGGCATGAAAAATGTGTAGAGATACTTTTGAAGTATGAGGCGGATGTACATAAAACAAATAAAAATGGAAGAAATGCCTTAATGTGTGCATCACTTAATGGACATGAAAAAGTGGTTGATATTTTATTTAGAAATGGAGCTACAGTAAATGATGTGGATACAGATGGTAATGATGCATTAATGATGGCCTCTCACAACGGGCATGAAAAATGTGTAGAGATACTCTTCAAGTATAAGGCGGATGTACATAAAACAAATAAAAATGGAAGAAATGCCTTAATGTGTGCATCACTTAATGGACATGAAAAAGTGGTTGATATTTTATTTACAAATGGAGCTACAGTAAATGATGTGGATACAGATGGTAATGATGCATTACTGATGGCCTCTCAAAACGGGCATGATAAATGTGTAGAGATACTTTTGAAGTATGAGGCGGATGTACATAAAACAAATAAAAATGGAAGAAATGCCTTAATGTGTGCATCACTTAATGGACATGAAAAAGTGGTTGATATTTTATTTACAAATGGAGCTACAGTAAATGATGTGGATACAGATGGTAATGATGCATTAATGATGGCCTCTCAAAACGGGCATGATATATGTATAGAGATACTTTTGAAGTATGAGGCGGATGTACATAAAACAAATAAAAATGGAAGAAATGCCTTAATGCGTGCATCACTTAATGGACATGAAAAAGTGGTTGCTATTTTAGTTAGAAATGGAGCTACAGTAAATGATGTGAATACAGATGGTAATGATGCATTAATGATGGCCTCTGACAACGGGCATGATAAATGTGTAGAGATACTTTTGAAGTATGAGGCGGATGTACATAAAACAAATAAAAATGGAAGAAATGCCTTAATGTGTGCATCACTTAATGGACATGAAAAAGTGGTTGATATTTTATTTACAAATGGAGCTACAGTAAATGATGTGGATACAGATGGTAATGATGCATTAATGATGGCCTCTCACAACGGGCATGAAAAATGTGTAGAGGTACTTTTGAAGTATGAGGCGGATGTATATAAAACAAATAAAAATGGAATAAATGCCTTAATGTGTGCATCACTTAATGGACATGAAAAAGTGATTGATATTTTATTTAGAAATGGAGCTACAGTAAATGATGTGGATACAGATGGTAGTGATGCATTAATGGTGGCCTCTCAAAACGGGCATGATAAATGTGTAGAGATGCTTTTGAAGTATGAGGCGGATGTACATAAAACAAATAAAAATGGAAGAAATGCCTTAATACGTGCATCACTTAATGGACATGAAAAAGTGGTTGATATTTTATTTAGAAATGGAGCTACAGTAAATGATGTGGATACAGATGGTAATGATGCATTAATGATGGCCTCTCACAAAGGGCATGAAAAATGTGTAGAGATACTTTTGAAGTATGAGGCGGATGTACATAAAACAAATAAAAATGGAAGAAATGCCTTAATGTGTGCATCACTTAATGGACATGAAAAAGTGGTTGATATTTTATTTAGAAATGGAGCTACAGTAAATGATGTGGATACAGATGGTAGTGATGCATTAATGAATGCCTCTCACAACGGGCATGATAAATGTGTAGAGATACTTTTGAAGTATCAGCCGGATGTACATAAAACAAATAAAGATGGAAGAAATGCTTTAATGCATGCATCACTTAATGGACATGAAAATGTGGCTGGTGTTTTACTTAATCATGGAGCAGATGTAAACTATGTCAACCAAAAACGAGAGAATGCATTATTATGTGCAAGCTTTAATGGGTATACTAAAATAGTAGAAATTCTCATTAAAAAGGGAGCAGATGTATGTCATGTAGATTCAGATGGTAATGATGCATTAATAATGGCCTCTCAAAATGGGCATGATAAATGTGTAGAGATACTTTTGAAGTATGAGACGGATGTACATAAAACAAATAAAAATGGAAGAAATGCCTTAATGTGTGCATCACTTAATGGACATGAGAAAGTGGTTGATATTTTATTTAGAAATGGACCTACAGTAAATCATGTCGATACAGATGGTAATGATGCATTAATGTTAGCAGCCGAAAAAGGTCACCTAAAATTAATAGAGTTTTTAATAAAAACTCATGCAGTTAGGAATTTTTTACCCCAAAACACGCCGAACAAATTCGCATCCTCCATGTTGCACGGCACAGCTGTTTCAGATGTGTATTTATTTAACATTGTTTTGACTTTGATTGGAAATAGACACATGGCCTTTGTAGAAATAATTTTATCTTTAGCTCATGAGAAATACATTACATCAAGAACAGAAATGCTTCTCCTTTTTATCAGTAAATCAACAGAGGAAGGTAAACATAATTCTTTTTTTTTTGTTAAAATATGTATTGCTTTTTAACATTATTGTAATTTAAATTGTGTGTTTAATAAAATATATCGACATTGTTAGTATTCCATTGCCAACCACAAGCATGTAATAGTATATAATTAACAGTTATATACTGTAATTATAAGACCAAACGTAACCTAATGCATAGATATTTTACTTTTCTAACAACAAAAAAAAACGGAAGAGGGCTTAAAATGTATGAAACTTGAATATCTGTAGTGTTTTTTATTGCTTATGCCAAATAAATTCAGATAGTTAGCCAGGTTTATCATCCCGATCGGACTGCGACGTCATCAAATAGATGTATCTATCTTGCTTGCTCAGTAAACCTTCATTTTGGCGGTTGTAAATGCACGATATGTCAGCCTTGTTAACTTAGAGACTTAGATGCAAAATTTTAATTTATTAGATCAATGTTCTAATCACTTAAAAGTAATATCTCAATTATGTACAGTCAGCCTCATTTTCCACAATCCCATAACTAAGTTGTACAAATTATATAATAGAATTAAAATAGTAGCTGTTCCCAATTCACTGTAATCTGTCATTAAGAGAATATCGAATTCCGATGTATGGACCACATTTATTTTATAACACCACATTGTTTTTGTGTTTTATATTTGTGTTACTGTGTCTCGTATGCCTTAATCGGGATATATGAAGTCTAAAAACCATACATTAATATTAATATTTAAAAGAACAAACTATTCCCTATTGGATTAAAAACGGTTTTACCCTCATAAAAATATACGTGTCGTATATACATACACATATTTGACTCACTTTGCACCAAACTACTGATGTAACAAATAGTATGCATTACCAATGCGTTAACAGGTTTGCAATAACGTTTATGATGATAATTCAAATTTAGGGATATAATATGCGCTTTTGTTAAAAAGAAAGTGACTTTTCAAAATCAATGTCGATATTTAAATAATAATCAAAACATATATGCTTAATAATTTAACTGTTAGATTTAATTTTAATAATACTTGAAGATCTAACGAAAAGTTTTGTCATTTCAATGTGTTTTGGGAAACAAAATATAAAATATTGCTTTTTTGAATTGTCGAGTACGTTAGATTTCTTATATTGTTATTGAAACTACCCTTAGGCTGTGGTACACTAAATAAGCTTATAATTAAACACTGAGTAAATTTCTGCTAGCGAATATGACCACAGTTCTATGTGTCCAAATATTTTTAAATGACATTGTAAATGTTTCTTAAATTTAAAGCATATTCTTTAAGAACTTTACATGAAAAGCAATATTTAAATATTCATTACTTACTTACTTAATCCTCGTCACACATACATTGCTCTATATACATATACTAGCGTACCCGTCCCCGCGCGTTGCTGCGAGAATAGAAGAAAGTTTGACGAAATACATAAGAAAGGTTTGATCCATGCGTTACTAATCCTATTTTCTTAGACCTTGTTTTCTAAAAGTGAGTTATTTAAAAGTAAACAAAGCCTGCGCTTTAATCATAAATATCTGGACCCGGGTTTTCCTACACTACCGCATGAAAACCTTGAGTGTACATTAATCACTCACTGAAATAATACGGTAGAACACACTTCGGTGACCGCCCATGTGTCAGAGACGTAGAGGAGAGTTCTAGGCGCATAGTCGCGGCGCACCAACCCTGGCTCTTTAAAACGAACAGGTGTGACTGATGCAATATGTTAGCGTTACTAATAGTCTATTCTTAGATACTCGATCTCAATTTCTGACTGCATTGTCTAAAAATACATGCTAATTGCATCATTCTCAAAGTGACGAAACTGTTTGGATTTTTTAAGGACAAAAAGAAACATCCCAGTTAATAACCTTGGTTAATTTTTCTGATTATTAAAATGAAGCGTATTACATGGCCCTCAGCGGCCCATGTGAGCCTTTGGGGGAAGAAACAGAAATTTTTATTTGCAGTAAAATCGCCCCATCCTATCACACTGTGGTCGCCATAGAGCTCACGGGAACGACTAGGGCGCCAAATCGCATCCTGTCGGGGGGCCGCAAAAGCAAAATAAAATCCTCCCTCCTTCCTCCCCCACCCACCCCACCCAGAAAACTTATCGGGAGTATTTATCAACTCCCTAACATTTTTGCCCTTACGAAATTAATATTTTTTTATATAACACTTCCTTGGAGTATTCTAATCAACTTTCAAAAGTTTGAAGGCTATCGGATAAACGCTGTGAAACCGCTATTGACGTTTATTTTTATTTACCGTATATAGAGAGAAAACAAATCGCGCCCTGCGAATTTGAAAATGTATTTTAAGGGGATATGCTATGTTTTTAGCGCAATTTCCATACGGAAAATTGCGATTATTAACTCGTCATTTCTGGATGGATGGATGAATGAATGAATGGATGTGTGTCCGCAGCTTTAAGTCGTATCTCTTCCTCAGCGAAGCAATATCGAGAACTAGTTCCAAAGCAAATATGTTAAGCAAGTTCCGAGGATGATTATGGGCCAAAAAAATTCCCGGAATTCCTTCCTGGATTTCCCGGAAAAGCCAAAAAACCTCGAAAAAATGCAGTGTTTGGCCCATATCTCGGCAACCAGACGACTTAGCGACTTGAAACATTTACCAATCGATTTCTGCCATAATTTTGAGCAATATTGACGAAGTAAGTTTTCAAAAATATCCTTTTTTTCGGTCACAAAAAATTAATTACTACTTTTTTAAACTGAGCATCGTGTGGGCCTAAGATGATATTTTTTTTATTAAACTGAGTATCGTGTAAGCCTACTCGTTAAAATAAAGCTATTTCCGTTGATATAGGTTAATATAGTTGTCTTTTTTTAGCGCAATTTCTATACTGGTTTCTATTTTGTTTTGAATTATTAAAACTACTTGTGTTGCATTATTTATTTGCTGAATATATGATTTATCTCGATTTAAAATTGTTATGGATAACATAAGGAAATTGCGCTTAAATTGTCACTAGACTTTTATTAGCTTGTTTTCTATTTTTTGCAGTATAAGATCTAAAGCTTTTTGAATATTTTAATCATATTTGGCATATAAAAGTAAGTATTAAACATCAAAAAAAAAGGATCGAAAACAATTTTAGTTGTAATGGAAACCCAAAAACCTCCGCCATTTTGAATTTTTCGGTACTTTTAAAAATGCTAAGGCTTTCTTATTTATGCATCTAAAGCAATCAAATTTAAACTGCTTATATTTCAGTATATATTAAAACTTATGTAACGACAACTTTTTGAAATAATAACTAGTAAGAATTTTACAAGGTCTAAAAAATCGTACCCTTTTAAGTATTCAAAAGTTTCAAAATGTGCATAGTAATTACCAAATACTTTTTTTTCTATGAAAGCAATCACAATTCCCTCGTGACAAAAGTTGTATTTTCGCATTAAGAACATTTACTAAAAATATGGTTGGCATTGTTTAATAAATAAAAAATTAGTAGGCTTTTTAGTGTTAAAAACCAGCGAACTGAGAAAAACAGCCAAAAGTTTCAAAGGCTATCATTGACGCAAAAAGTCAACAACAAAAAATATGTACTCTAATTTCGCAACGCAATTTTTCGACAGCCCATACGTCAGGTGGAGGAAGGGTTGGGGAGGTGGCGGCTAACTTATTGGAAAAAAATTCAAACATGGGAGAAAGGTCAAAGGGTGTAGTGCGGGGGCGTACGGTACACGAGTGGCTCGCGGTGGTTTCATACCCCACCTCCCTCTCCCGTCACTTTGTTGAGTAGGTGTTACTAACCCACGGGCATCGATCAAGAAATTTTGCCAGACTTTTGTCTCTGAAAATACACAATATTCGTCTGACATGTTCATCAAATGTTTAGTTTAGAGGGAATGATTTTTTTTTATTACCTGGTAGAAAAATTAATTGTAAAAGAAATGTTGCACAGTGTTGTGTTTTGTTTTGCCGTGGGCATTTCCTATGTCAGCCTTGACTGATCACGTTGGTATTGTTGACGTCTTGCTTCAACGGCAGCCTTGTCGGCTTTTTTTCACGGGCTAGTGGGGGCAGGGTGAGGCTATAAAAAAACGGGATGGAAACATGGTATTAGAAAAAATATTTAGACAGGTAAGAGGGGGGTGGGGGAGGGGAGATAGCGGGCTATGTAAAAAAAAATCCACGCTAGCCCTAAGTGGTCTTTTGTAGACGCGTGTGGTTGAGGTGGAGGGGGGGAAGGGGGGTCTGTGGGGGTTCTAATTTTAAGGACGTATAAACCACTACTTTCATTTATCAGTCAAGTAGGATTTGAATGGTATAGTTTATCGGGGTATCTTTAGTATCACGTACAAACTCTGACATCTATAATGCAACTTTATCTCTATGCAAAAATACAGGAAAAAAAGACACAGGAAAAAAAAGTCACAGGAAAAAAAGTGACAAATGTATATTTGCATGGAATTTCTTAATACTTTTATGTATTATGCTAATCAGTTTACAATTCAATTCAATTAAATGTAATGTAATCATTTTAGATATATATGAGTAAATCGTATACATATAGTAATATTTATAACACACATAAATGATTTTAGTATACAGTTGTAGTTTTGTTTTTGTAATTATTTTTGCAATATAATATTATACAGAATTTAATACAATTTTCGACCATCTCAGTTTCAAAAGTGATTTTTAATTGCTAACTTTAAATTAGCGTGAAATCGCATAAAGACAAAGTTAATGTGTCTTGCTCTCCCCAACTAATCACAATAATAGTTCAAACCACCTTTACTGACCACTTTTATCACGTTCATTACATAACAATGCCTAGGATCAAAAGAGAAAGCCGATACGGTACAAAGGCTTTGATTGACGCAAAACGTAAACAAAACACAATATGGTTGGACAAATCCGACAGAGGAGAAGCCAACCAAGGAAAGGCCTACAGTAAAACACATGCAAACACAATGATTAGCCTCAATTTTTTCTATAATAATTTTCCACAGCGTATTTAACAAAAGTTGACGTTGCTATGTACATTATCTTAAGTATTTTAACTTGCTATTGTTTTTTAATGTCTCTACGAAGAGAATTTTATATATAGACGAGCTGACCCGCGGCGTATTATATGCCGCTATTAAGTTTTATTTCCTACTTTTCAGTAATTCACAATTTGTGAATTCGACAGTACCAATGCTGCCACTGAAAATATTTGCTTTAAAAAACTATCAGTAGGTCGTTAAGGACGAACATATTTGCTTTAAAACACTATCAGTAGGTGGTTAAGGACGATAACCCCCACCCTCCTTTC